TTCTCATCGGCGTGGACCCATTTCTCACACAGCTTCGAGGATAGTTCTGCCAGGGAGCTTTTGTAGTCAGGTATCAATGGAGGCATCCCCGGTGTGAACAACCAGGCATTCCAGTCGATCTGTGGACGGATCAGGTCGTCTTGATCCATTGTCATTCGTTCGCCCGAATGCCGGTCTACCCTCGTCGACCCATGCACCTTTCCGAGCGAAACTCTTATCACGATTCTGACCTTGTCTAGGATGGCCTTCCGGTCGGCGAAGAACTCATACAGGAAGCCCTTGAAGTCATCAGTGGCGATAGACTTGTATTTGAATCGCTCTACGTACGCCCTCAGGAAGGCCTCCATGCTCTCCATTCCCAGAAGAGTCTCCAGATAATAGAGGAATGTGTGTCCTTTTTCGTACGGCACCGATGAAAACGAGTCATCGGGATCGACGCCTCTGAGATCGACCACCAGCTTGGTGAGTTGATTGTTTTCTCCTGTGAAAATGCGGCAATACGCAGATTTAGTATAGGGATCGAGCTATCAGCAGGCTCCTAGATTCCTGAGTTTCGTGACAAAGTCGATCTGTCGTAGGAAAAGATGACTCACCCAAATCTTCGAGAATGTCATACCTGAGGTCCTTCAGACCTTGGATTGCGCAAAACTGACGCACGTCTTCCCCCTTCATCCTGCCTATAAGTTTCCTCTCAACGTACATAGTGAAGCCCTCGTTCAACCAGAAGTGTTCGAAGTTTTTGTTCGTCACCAAGTTCCCCGTCCACGAGTGCGCGATTTCGTGAGCAACAACACCAGCGACGGACTTGTCGCCGGCAAGGAGTGTGGGAGTGACGAAGGTGAGACAGGGGTTCTCCATGCCGCCGAATGGAAAACTCGGTGGCAGTACGAGGAGATCATAGGCACCTACAACGATTGATGCATGAATTATGATAGATTCGAAATAATTAACCTCTGCTTTTTTTCCCGACCTCATCTTCTACTTCATCTCAGGCGCACTTTGGGAGATAAATATATATTATATATTTATATCGACCCATATCGCACATCATACTCACCCCAAACATAGTCTCCCATGAGGGTTTCGGCGGTCTGGAGCATCTGCTCCGTATCGGCAAAATCTACAGTGGCCTTATCAACCAGTTCTTTCTCCGACCACACTTGACTGCGGGGCCCGATTTTCCTGGAATTATCCTCGCGAAATGTCGTTTACGGATTCCTCCACCCAACGGCATGTTCATTTCCTGCTTGTCGGACCAAGGTCGCAAGGCAAAGCGACCAATCCGAAACTAGCAGAGACAGGTTCAATTCGTTGCATTCGACCATCACCTCGATTCAAGATCACCGACGGCAAATGCCAGGAGGTATACGGGAACAGGAACCTTCTGCTCATACGTAACGACCTTGGTGTCGTTCGGTGCCGGCTCTTCCCCTTGTCTTACGCCCGATACGACCTGAAATTATTTTGCCCGCTTATGAGGACAGGCAGGCTTGATAGACCTGGGACTCAGGCTGGAGCCAGAGTGGAGAAAAAGTCTGGGTGATTGTTCTCGAGTCGCTTACCGCGGTCACGCCTTTCGGTACTCGGATCTTCGCCGTGAAGGGCGTTTTCACATTAGGTGAATCTTGGCAGGGCAGCAAGGCTCTGAGAAAGAGAGTAAGAGTCTTCACATATCCAGGTCCGAACAACTTCCCGCATAAATCCGGTGGGCTGATACCTCCCCGAAAACGATTAGAAAAATAGACAAAATATGATACTACGAGAATTGCTTGATGACGCAAACCTGGAGTGAATGGCCTCGCTGTGGCTGTAAACGTAAGGTTGCCTTTTGCCGGCGGTTTGCTCCTTCGTCATCCATTGTAGAGCTGACGAGTCCGGGGACGTGTGATACGCAACTCGTATTTTGGACTTGGTTGAAGCTGGCAGTCGAATTTTCGTACAAACACCGAATTTCTGAAAAGATGTTACCATGATTCGTGTCCTCGGGGAGGCTGCCGGTGCCGAGGGTGCGAAACCTCGAGGGACCGTCGGGGACACCATGACACTCACCTCGTCGACCACGCTGCGATCGACATCAAGTTTTTCGCCGGAGTCTAGGCATGTTGCCCCGAGTACAGACAGGGACTTTGAAGAGTCGAGAGTAAGGAACTCAGCTTCAGGCAGGGTCTTCGTGACATCCAGATCCACATGACCTTTCAGAATTTTCGCATTGAAGTCCACAGCGACATCCCAATGGAAGGCGTTGACCACGGCCTCTTCCGGTCTGAAATTCACGAGCCATGAGTTTTTCTGAGATGGTAGTACATGAGAGGACAGTATGGAGAGAAATGAGAGACCTTCGATTACATAGACTATATTTCCGCCCGGAGCTTTGCTTATCTGCATATCTTTGCACGAATTTCATCCGATCGAATATTCCATGTCGTGAAAAATGACAAGCTCTAAGTTTCGAACACAGTTGATAATTTTGGTGAATTGGTACTTTGGTGATCTAGAATCTAGACCAGGCAACAGACATACTAATTCGAAGGCACTGAGACTATCCGAAGCAACGCGATTGTTCTCGGAGAGAAGAACGAATAATAGGGTGAGAAGACTGAGAGCCGGCATAGAAGTGTCTGCCGTCCTCGTCGTAGCCAGACGTGGCTCGGTCGTCGCGAGCGACTTGCCCATTACTCTCCGAGAATCGTGTCGGCAAGACGCTCACCTTGAAAATGAATTGGGATCCTGAGGACTCAAAGATGCCATGCTCCCCGTTGTTCGGAAAATCAGAGGGGATTTCCCGCAGGCAGCTGCAAAGCACGCTGTATATCCGCAAAACTGTTGATGTGAGCCGCCGCCGGGGCTCCACTTGCTGCCAATCAGCGGACCGAGAGAGGAGAATCGTCTGACAACAACAGCGGCGGCGATCATCGGATGGCCTGGATTGTTCGATAAGAGTCTCAATGCTTGCACTGAACGACTTCAAGATATTCCCATGTGTTTATCTGTGACCTCTCCGCATGCAGGAAGGCGGTCGAACCTGTCGGGAAAGATCTTCGGTCGAAGCGCGCGATCACGCTGTGTGAGGCTACTCGACCAAGAAAAAATGGCGTCAATCCGGACTAAACAGTAGGAGAGAGATTTGAATTCCTCACGGGCGGGCTTGGACGTTGTTTCCTATGTTCTGGGAACATCAGTGCATATCACGGGAATCCCCTCTTCCGCGAGCTACCAGGTTCGCCGAAGACCGGAAGGTTACTCTGGTTACGTTCCCATTGTCTCTGACCTCGATTTGCCTGAATATCAAAGAGTACATGGAAGGAATTCTCGGTCATCGACACCTACCGTCTTCTGGCCTCGTTTCTGAGCGCCAGGTGGGAGAGTGTCGAGTGTCGAATCGATGTCGTGGAGAAATGTCGAGATGTTGGGGTCGAGTAGTATTCGCAAATTCTTATTGAATATTGCATGACGAGACGGTACATTCAAAACTATAAGGATTCCTGCCTTATGCGACGGTCGTAGTAGCATCGGGAAACGGTCAGAATTACGTCGAGTCCCGACAATGCGCCCGATGAGGGTCTGACTCCCGATCGAGGGTATCTCGGTGACTCTTCCGGAGGGGGTTGGCTCTCCTCAAGAGTTAGTTCACCTTACGATATGGGCACGACCAGAGTACAGCCAGCTCTCAAAAATGCACCAGGATCCGAAGTCCGACCTTCCGGAGTGTCCCGGATCTCCGATCAGTCACAGCCACCTATTTCAATCCGAAGATTTGTGGCTACAACTGGAACCCATCGATATCGAAGAAGTGTGCTCGCCTGAGCCTGCGCGAGAAATCAAGAGCTCATCCCCATCCCGTGGACCGATCGCATTCCTTGGACTCCCGACAGATGCAGCGCTTCTAGGGAGAGAAATCCCGTCCGAAGAGACGAAAGTCCGTTAGGAATTAATCACAGGCATCCTTTCTCGGTATACAAGCGGATATTCACCAGAAG